CTGAAAAATTGAGAAAAATCGTAACTCAGTTCATAATAATCCTGCAAAAATTCTAACTTGCTCTCGTAAACCCAATCCACATAAGGCATCCATATACGCCGTTGCCGTAATTTTTCCTCTATTGGAAATCAAGAAAACGGAAATTTTCATGCATTTGCCAAAGTGGTGCTGTGCCGCCCCCACATAAGTAATTGTATACTACAAACCTGTAGAAGTAAATACGTAAATTTTCAGCTCTTTACAAGCTTTAGTTCTCGAGAAATTTGAATTTTAGCTTGGACCACCTAACTAATGAAGGCTATATTCAATATTTCTTGAGAACTAAAGCTTGTAGAGAGCTGGAAATTTACGTTTGTACTTCTACAGGTTTGAAGTATGCAACTACTTATGTGGGGGCGGCACAGCACCACTTTGGCAAATGCATAAAAATTTCCGTTTTCTTGATTTCTAACAGAAAAAAATACGGCAACGGCGTATATGGATGTCTTATGTGGATTGGGTTTACGTGAGCAAGTTAGAATTTTTGCAGGATTATTATGAACTGAGTTACAATTTTTCTCAATTTTTCGGGCAGTTGAATCTTTTCAGTTTCTGGCTGGAAATTAGTGATGGATCAGAGCTGTTGCTAAAGCAAGATCGCCACCTTGTAGAGCTTGCTTTGCTCTATCGAATGGTACCTTGCAACCTACTTAGAAATGAGAAGTGTATGACTTATTGCGGTTGAAATTCAAAACCTGCATTAATTTCCGGACAACCTAATATTTACTTGGATTATATTTGTTTTTATGCATTAAGATAGGATACCGGGGGAGGTGAGGGGGAGATAATGGTGAATTTGTCTGAGTCATCGATTCTACCAACTTCGTCGAGTAAGTTCCTGGAACAATGAACCTCATTTTTCGCTTATAGTGGTTGTGCTTCTAGCAACTGTTGCTCAAACGAAAGAAAACGAAATCAGTTCTAAACTTTTACAAAAACTACGAGATTTGGGGTATCAAACTATATAAAACTTGTTCGCTAAAATTGTGTCTTTGGAGGTAAATTAATGAGGTGTGGCACAACCCCAAAAAAGCTGTGGCTGCCACACCTTGTGCCACCTCCTAAATTTCATGAAAGTGATTTGAGACTGGTTATGATTGGTCTTCTTCAGTCTAAGATATTAATGAAATCAAACAAAAAGATTCTGGCTTGCTTTCAATTCCATAGTTTGGAGGCTATTCAAAGTGAGATTCCTAATGGGAGCAAAGAAGTAGTGGTACTTTGCATTAATTACAAAGAAAGTGGTCAACTCAATTTGCATGTTAACAGGTAAATGATCATCGCACATGGATGACCCAAAATTTGGAAACCTCAGAAGTCGCTAAAACTTAGCCCACAGGGATTATTCAACATGATGATTTCGAAAATGATGCTCTTATGCTTTTAGGACTCTTTTATTATGCTTAATTACGTATACGATGGTAGGCCAAAACATTAATGTGCTAGTATTTCGCATAATGGGCTTTTCAGACTTGTTAATGAAAATTATGTTGTCGCCAAGATCAGTATCACCTCGATAACACCCCCCCCCCCTGACTCCTCAGTACGACCCCCCAGGCTTGAGTGCGATAGGGAGAACAGTGGTCCCCTCCAGGTGAAGGGGGTTTTCGCTATTGGGAGAGAAAAGAAGGAAAATAAGTGCTACAGAGTGTAATATGAAGATTTTCTCAATGTTTAGGTTTTGGAAGGTTAGAAACAGAGACTTTTTTGACTCAGGAAAGCTTTATGTTTCACCACAACATACCATTCGAAAGTTTGGGTGTGTGCCTTTCTGAACCGCTCCGTCCTAGCGCTAATTACTCTACCCGGGCAACTAATTACGTCGCCTTTCTTATAATATAGCAGAGTTTTCAAATTTCTGAGCGTTCCCAAGTGAGGCACACGAGTCTGCACGTGTAAGCTGAAGAATTTACCTAAGCCGCCCAAATAAAACATTTTCGAGTTTCAATTATAGTGAGGATATTTGAATTATGAAGACAAAAAGTTGGAAAGGTTGCATGTTTCTAAGGCCATTTCGTGATTTCTTCGCCCTTCTTAGTTTTCAAAACACCATGAAGTCTGCACGTGTAAGCTGAAGAATTTACCTAAGCCGCCTAAATAAAACATTTTCGAGTTTCATGGGAATCGTACTCTTGTTTGATTCTTTCATCATGAGAATGCCTTTGCAGTCCAATTCAGACGTCTCTAACGGCAGCGTAGCTCTCGCTCACTCAAGCGGCGGCAGCACCGACCAATCAGAGGCGCGCAGTGATTAGGCTGCTAGTGTTAGCGGTTCAGAAGGGCCGTCTCCCGAAAGTTTGGAACATACAGAATCGACGTAGACCGTCTCTTTTTTTCCAGCTCTCCTGTGAATTCAGATACAAAAAATCATATCCAGCTTCATCATCAGCTAATTTCATGCAATCAATTTGAGCTCCATTCCTGAAAGAAAGAGGAAAGCTAGAAAAAAGAGACGGTCTATATTTACTGGCTTGTCTTGCTTTGTCTTGCTCTGGTCAGACTACTTCACTCTTAACATAAGAATTTCCTCACAAAAACACACATGGTTTCAGCTAGAATGCCATGTATCTCTGAGTAGAGGGGGGGGGGGGCTAGAAAGAAGTCGACGGTCTACCTCGAATCTCCTTTCCCTGAGCTTTCGAATGGTGTACAGATTACTGGGGGAAAGAAGTTGCCAGTTTTTAAAAATGGGGTGGAGATATTATTTACTATTAGCTTGCTCCACCCAGCTCCAGCGAAAAGAAACAGTCTATGTCGAATCCCTGTTTCGTAAGCTTTTCAATGGTATATAGGTTGTTGAGTGAAAAAACTCGTGGCTTTTGAAAAATGAGATGGAGATATTTACTATTAGCTTGTTCCACCCTGGTCTTGGCTTGTATGGGTCGCGGAGCGAGACTTTTTTGGACTGGGAAGCTTGCTGCACCAACAATTTGTATACCATTTGATAGCGAACACTAGAAATCGACGTAAACGGTCTCTTTTTCCTAGCTTTTCTGTGAAGCGAGATTAGTTATCTCCAGGGTCAATGGTACCTTGCAACCTACTTAGAAATGAGAAGTGTATGACTTATTGGGGTGCGGCACGCCACACCTGGGGGGTCGTATTGAGGAGTCAAAAGGGGAGGGGGTCGTAGTTGGGTAATCTGATAATAGTGATAACATGATATTCGTATCATATCCATCATTAGCATGTCAATTAACCCCTGTAGACAAAGTATGAGCGAATTCTGAAGATTCAAGATACTAGGCTACCTAAGTGAAATGGTCATATTCCAACATGGTTAACTTTGTTTCAAAGGTGAATTAGCTATCCGTTTTTGCACTCCGGACAAAGCACTACTTCTTTTTTGTCCACCTCAGAAATCCCGCTTCAAAAGACCCCCAACCTGTGGAATTAGAAGCCAACCAAAATCTCGTTTTTCCCAATTTTCGCTTTTGATCGCTGTGCTTTCACCAAATATTACTTAGAGCTAAGAAGACAAATCAGGCTCCAAACAGTCCTATGGAATCTACAAGGTTTATTCGATTCATATAAATACTGTCCGCTAAAAATGTTTTTTTGATATAGTTAATGGGGTGCGGCACACCCCCTCAAAAGCTGCGGCTGCCGCAGCTTTTAAAGGCAGCGTACACCCAAAATTTGAGCTACCGTATTTCCAAGATCTTTCTACACCATGTATATACTGGGCCCAGAAGGAGACCAACAGAGTTGGTCCCGTCTCCCAATGTTGCTTCTGAGCGGAGAAAACCCCCCTCAATTTTCTTTCATGCCGCCCCTTTTCTTTCGCTCCGCCTCCTTCGGACGAATCCATAACAGCGTAAGCTGCAATTGCAGTTGCAGTTGCTGTTGCAACATCTGTTGCATTTGTTTTGGGTGTACGCTGCCTTTAAGGGGGTGTGCCGCACCCCTTTAACTTGCCTTCAAAATCCAGAAAGCGCTCCATTGCTGGATGAGTATTGAGCACATAGCTTCTTCTTGCTACATTGGAAATTTGGAGCCGAACGCCCCACCTATAAGAAAATTATGGCCCTTTCAATATGCCCATTCAGATCAAAATCAGCCGTCAAATTACGTGTGATTGTAAAGTGCAGTCACAGAAAATCGGGCGTACAGCTCTCAGAAATCTGAAAACTCTCTAGAAAAAGATGGTGTCCTCCAGAATGTCACACTCTGAGGTCCAGAGGTTAAGAGGAGGAAGAAGGGGTCGTTTGAGGGCTTTCATGGGGTGGGGGGGCGGTTCGAAAGACTTGTGCCTGACCTCTTTCTCAACTCTGGTAATGCTATCTTAGATATATAGTTCAGGGGGGGGGGTCTTATTAAGACAGCAATCAGGGGGGGGGGGGGAGTCGTAACCAGCAATTGTGTGCCACACCCCTTGCTTGACCCTGGTTATCTCATGCTTCATTTATGAAATCAAGAGGATCTTTTTCGAAGTTTAGTATATGATTCGAATGCTTGAGAAACGTGAAATATAATTGCTTTTTATTTGTTATTATTTTCTCTAGTAAAAGGAGATATGGTACGATTCTTGTCAGTTAACATGCATCCATCACTAGCTAGTCCAGATTTTCTACTCTTGCTCAACTCTTTCTTGCGACAATGTGTATTCATTGATAAGTGTTAATTATTCGAAGAATCAGACTTCCTTTTGATTTTCGATCAAGTTTCGTTATCGACGCCACTTTGTGTGCGCAGGAGGGGAGGGCAAGCGTTAGGCGACAAAACGTGCAAAACGCAAGCAACGTAAATCCCTTAACTCAAAACTATGCACCATTTTTTCACTGGCGTCGGGTAATGTATCGGCCCCGACCCCCACCCCCCTGTTTTTGATAAACCACTATACATATGTCGGATTCGGACGGTGGCACTATCTACCGTAATTGGCGTGAGCTTGGCGTGAAGCCAACTATCCAGCGCAACGCCATTTGCTTCATAGTTTTCGCATTTTTACGTTGTTTTCCATGATTCTTTTGCGTAATTTGGTTTTCCGCTTACTATTGCTTAATTTCCTTCTTGTAGGACACGTGCAAGCCAAGTATCGCCATCGAGCTGTTTTGATAGGTACACTGGTAAGCTTTTTAGTAATGATATAGCCATTTTGTCTACAGGCGGTCTTTTAGTTGCTCTTTGCGACGCCGTAACGTGGTGCCGAAGATTGTCAATTATCCAATACGAGAGGAAACCATTAAGAGTGAGGTCGAAGGGTTGAAGATGTTGGTTTCTGTTCAGTTTTTTGACCTTTTGTTGAAAATTTTCGAGATTTCGTCTCCTGAATTTGGTTTTGGTAACATATCAAAAACCATGACTGTAACCCGAACTAGGTTGAACTGAATTCACTTTTTTCTGTGTGGGTCTACTTGTCGATATGGGTCTGCGCAGCGATGGTATTTTTAGCATCAGGTCATCAAGAATTCTGCACACCGTCTACACATTTGTGAACAAATCAAGATTTTTTCCTGCTCCTCGATGTTTTATTTGAGTTATTTTACAGGAGTGCGAGCTCTAGAGCACCGAGCAACCGGACTGCGCCATTGCGAAACCAGCCGAGCTCCGAATCTCGCTGTTTTGTTTATGAACGTTTTATAATTGCCGCGTGTCTGTAAAGAATTTTGGCTTGCTTGAATGATAGACTTTGAGAATGTTTACACCTTAGAGATAAAAGTTTTAATGATAAAGAAGCAACGAAATACAGAAACTTGAGTATAAGCTGTATAACGAACACGAACATGAATCCACATGAAAACCAATATCATATTCGTATGATTCATCTGCAAAACGAATAGGCCCCTGCCATCACTATAGCATCTATTACTATCTACAAACCGCAAAATTTCCTAATTTCTGGCTTCGCTTCCAAAGAACAAAAACATTGCGTCAAATCCACTGGATTCGTGGGTGATATGGCAAAGAATGTCGGCAAAGTAGACAAAGTCGACAGTAGACAATGTCGGCAAAGTAGACAGCAAGTACAAGAATGCTTGTTGGGAAAATGACTATTTATTACTGATAAGCTTACCAATGTGGCCACCGCCACCGCTAAATAGCTCGTTTGTGGCGATATCTGGCTTGCACGTGCCCTGCAAGAAGCAAATTAAGCAATAGTAAGCAGAAAACCAAATTACGCAAAGGAATCACGGTAAACAACGTAAAAATGCGAAAACTATGAAGCAATGGCGTCTCGCTGGATAGTTGGCTTCGTGCCAAGCTCATGCCAATCTCGGATGGTCCCGCCGCGCCCGTGGGGTACGGTGGATAGTGCCACCGTCCGAATCCGACATATAGTGGTTTATCTGTTTTTGGCGGAGGAGACGTTTTGCACGGGGAGTTCTTTGTGGTCCAAAAAATTGGGTTTGTCGCCTAACGCCCTACACCCGGCAGGAGGTCTCAAGCATGGTTTTTTTTTCGAAGCTGTTGCTTTGGTGCTTTTTTGTATTTCTTATGTCTGAGGAGAGCGGCTGGCGTTTCCTTTCCAAACAAAAAGAGTGCCGTTGTAACCATTGTTTAATTCTGCCGTTATGCCTTGATTCTAGTCTCAACTTCAGGTGAAAGGGGTCAGCCAGATGTTGGCGCTAAAGTGAAGGGGGTCAGAGAAATTTTGCTCCCATGTGGGCGTGCCACACCCCACGCTTTACCCAGATTGACTAAGATATTTGTCAACTTCATACACAAGATATTTCCTCCAAACTTTCTGCTACATCCACCATCCCCTGTTTAGGACATAGATAATGCTATTTCAAATAGTGTAACATCGCAACAGCAATGAGCTGTTGATTTTTCTCATAATGTTTTCTTCTGGCATTCACATCATTTGGCGCATTAGCGTAGGATGCAAAAGACGTAAAAATGATGATCGTGATCACTTTTCCTCTGTCCAAAAATGAGGACTGAAGTAGACATTTGTAGAATGGACGCGAATTAGTACAAAGCTGGAAGATGTTCCATAATTTAAAAGAAATGTTTTGTACCTTACGACCGGCTGCGTAGCGAATGCCTCTTTATCTTTTAGCTTGAGCCGAAATGGTTAAAAAAAAACCCTTTACAAATTCTCAGTTCTTAGTGTTAAAAAAATTGTTTGCCAAAAATAGATGTTCTCCACTATCTGAATCAGTCGTCATAGAATTCAGAGTGAGGACCAACTACTACAACGGAAGTTGAAATATTCTTTTGTATTCACTTTTCTGTATAGCTCGTCCAGCGCTAAAAGTGTTGACGTCTTCTAAAAATACTTCGTAACCAGGCCTTTGACCTAACCAGCAATCGGGAATTTCGATTGGGTTCGCATTTTTGGTGCAAGTAGGCATTAAGTTGCCCCGAAAGTTTTGTCACTTCGTCTCCGAAAATTCGTAGCTTTCCCTTTTCTCAGCTTGGATGCCTCTTCATAATATTATTGAAGAGGAACCTTTTGCTTTGCAGTATTATACTTCCGAGCTTCTACTAACATTGATTGCGACGATAAAAAGGAGAAGAAGACAGCTAGAGCTCTGATCAAAACTTATGTTTACATTTCAAAGTCCCAGGAAAATCGAAAATCGTCAGTATTCAGTCTTCACAATACCTATTCTAAAAGAGATTATGCTGATCTGACGTCTCTGATCTAGAATGTGATTACAATAAAAACCATTATAACTTTGTCGCTTCTTTATAAAAATCGTAACTCCTCACGGAGATCGATTAGCCCAAATTTTATCATTTGGAATCAGTAGTTCAAGGAACTTTTCATTCAAGATTTCAAATGATGAGTGGCAAAAAAGCCAAATAATCAGAGTTCTTACTGAATACTAGAACTCTAGTAAAGAAGATACATCATCTGCAATCATTTTTGTCAGAGTGCAGATCTGAAATAGTTTTTATTATTGAGACGTGGTTAACGGGAATAGTTAATGATAGTGAAGTTAAAGGGAAACTTCATTGAATATGTGATTTCGCATGTAGGCGGACATAGCCGCAAATGTGGGGGAGTCCGTTGTTCAGCAAAAAGTACATTATAATCAAATCTTGCATTATTGACAATAATACGATGTTAAAACATTCTCTGTGTCGACATATCCTCTTCACGTGAGCCTACCTGGTTACGCTTTCTAGCAGTTTACCGTCCTCCAAATAGCTCGTTTGTAAGTGATGGAAAAGTAATGGAATTGTTATGTAAATTTGTTAGCGAATACGAAAAAAAAATAGTTTTGGGAGATTTGAATTTACAGATAAACTGGCCCGAACCGCAACCTCTTAATGGAACATCATCCCTTTTTCTCGAATTTTTTGTATTTCCAATTTAAGACAATATGTTACAGAACCAACACACCGCTCCCATGTTTGGATCTCGTATTTGGACCTCACCTATTATCTCGGATACGCGCACTATGCCTCCTCTTGCAAAGTCCGACCATCGCATAGTCGAATTTTCAGTTTGCATGAAATTGTCCAGTCAGATTACTCTGCCGACACCCGATTTTCGAAAATTGATTATATTACTCCCAATGGAACCTCAAAACCATTGTTGGTTCGCTATATTTTGACCAATACGAATCAGCAGATGACGTATACTACCGATTTTGTGTGACTATAGGGTGCGTTTCCAATATGTGTGCTGTGTAAATTTTTGGTACAGCCTCACCAAAGCTATCCACCTCAGATAAGGAAGCTTTTAGCTAAAAAAGACTTTTTTCAAGTCTCTGGTCAATTTAACAAATTCTACTTATAAGAAAGTATGCAAGGATGTGGACCTCGAAAAGATTTTTGACGTGCGAACAAAAGTTGGCTATGATGGCTTCATCAAAATTTTTCTTTCAGTATGTAAATCAAAAATCAAAATCAATCCTTCATCTGTCTGCCATTTCCGACCAAAATGGAAGTACCTATGTATACCACGGCATGGATAGAACGCAAGCTTAGCTCGCTATTTCGTTGGTTGTTCTCTCATGAGGATAAAACATTGCTCTCGGAATTCTCTACAGCTCCACTGGTCACCACTGCCTTTCCACCGTCTATTTCACTCCCTCTAAGTCCGGAGGATTTTGATCAGATTATGAGCTTTCTTCACTGAAACGTAAGACGGTATCCCACAAATTGTTTTCAAAATGCGCTCCAAGTCTTTGTACTCCTCTTGTACAAAATTTCAACGAGTCAATGATGCTTGTAAGCTCCATTGGAATTCTGGCCAGCTTGCTACCTACTGCAGAAAAAGTAATGGAGAAAGAAGTGCGTGATAAACTTTCGAACTAGTTTCCAATGTAGTTGCATGAATCAGCACAGTTTCGTGGCGGGATCGTCTACAATGACAAATCTCCTTCGTTTTATTGGAATTTGGCCCTTAAAAGAGGCAACTCTCTCGATGTCATCTACATGGATCTGTCTAACAATAAGACATTCGACAAAATGAACCATATGACACTATCGTCAATATTAGAGAGTTTTGTTTGAGTGAAATCGTTTAAAATAGCTGAAATCTTATCTGAACAACAGAGGAATGGCTGTTCGTGTAGGGCATCAGTTTTCGGAGCGATTTAGCTGCACAAGCGGTGTCCCACATAGTGCAGTCCTTTTTCCTTTGTTTTTTTTCTGGTGTAAACAGCCACGCTTTCAAGCATTTTGAAACCATCAACGATTATTACAGTTCAGATGTATGCAGACGATATGAAAATCTATATATACTACGACGATGAAAATAAAGCTAAGGTCAGATGTGCAATGAAGGCGTCCTTAGAGAAAATGATGCGCTGGGCGGCTTGTTTAGGCATTTCTATCAATTTGAGAAAATTGTGTCATTTTTGGTAATCTGGAGATTCCAACCTATTAGATAAACAAAAGCAAACTGATTTTGGGAGTTTTGATTGATTCCGATCTGAATTTTTCTGTCATGTTGATAATGTAGTAAATGAAGCTTGTTCGGTTTTGTTTGGGGACTTCTCGTAACGTACATACCGACAACCAGATGATCCTCAAACGCCTCTCGAGCTTATGCTTTGCCATATTTGTATTATTTTGTAATAGGGAATCCCTTTCTAAAGAAAAATATTTTGAAACTAGGAAAGTCCAGCAAACTTTTTGTATCTAAGGTGTCGCAAAAAACTCAAAGGGCTTTGGCAATGAAAAGTTTAGAAATAGACGAATATTTCTCGATTTTGTTTTTGGTTTTCGACATCTGCATAGGGCGTAAAGACTCATTCCAAGTAAATACCGAATTTTCAGACCTTCAAATAGAAATGGTGGCTACATCCATTATTCGCGTACTTACAGGAAGCGTTTTCGTCGGCTTTTCAATAGTTTGTTTTACAGAATCCACAGATTGCTTAGATTGTTACCAGAAAGTGCACTGCAAACCTCAATACAAACGCAACTTATTCGCGCGTAGAATCAATGCAATTGAATTTTCCTTTCTTCTGACAATGAGACAACCTGAGAATGGATAGGAATTCTCTTTTTGCTGCAAGTGCTGATTTTTATATTTGAGCATTCTGACCTGAACCTTCTTGAGCATTATGACTTTTGCACTGACCTATATCTTAGTACGTCTCCCGTAGTCACTTTTGCTTAGAACTTACTTTGAATCGTACAGAATATTCCAATATTCCTCCAAGCCACCCCATTTTATTCAAATTTGCTTGTGCTCATGGTAGCGATGTAAGAGGAAGCTGAAAGAAGTCCTCCACTGAGCACGCATGGATTCTCTCACTCGCTTT